GTACCCTGTTCTACACGTTTGTAGCCACACTTAGGAGCGGATGGATGGATCTGTCACCTGGTACCCTGTTCTACACGTTTGTAGCCACACTTAGGAGCGGATGGATGGATCTGTCACCTGGTACCCTGTTCTACACGTTTGTAGCCACACTTAGGAGCGGATGGATGATTTGTTACTGCATTCAGTACATTTGTAACCATACTGTGGCGTCGATAGACTTGTTACCCTATTCTGAAGAATATCCATTTTCTTGTGAATATCCACAGTTGTGAAAAAGTAGAGAACAAAGAGGTCCTAGACTAGCACCTCGTCTGTGCCCACACACAGGTCAGCCAAACCACCAAGATTCCCTGCCTGACATAAAGGGAAAAATTGGACTTACGTCATACAGGACAACTTTCTTCACGTCTCCAAATTTGAGGCACTCGTCTCTGACATCTGCCCTGAACTCGTTGATCAGAGTAGGGTCAGCCTGCAGAATAAATCAACAACACACACATCACACACCTACAAAACACACATGACACACCCACACCACAACACACACCAAAAACAAACACACATGACACACCCACAACACCCACCAAAAACAAACACATCATGCACTGCTGCCTGCCTGTTTGGAGCGCGCCTCCAGTCACCCACCCCCCACCCCCTCACTTGATCTCTCCCGCTGTGTCCAAGTTCAGGCCTTTCCTTGCCCCATTCAACAGTAGCACAATTCATTGAGTTTACAGAGAAAAACAAGGGGATTCCAGTAAGGTCCCCTGCAGTAGTCATGGTCTACTGTATATATCGTACTTCATCTTGTTGTATCCCTCTCAGCCCGGGTCTGTCTGCTGGGATGTTGTATCCCTCTCGGCCCGGGTCTGTCTGCTGGGATGTTGTATCCCTCTCGGCCCAGACTGGCCTGGACATTAAGACAATAATCCAAGGAGGGAAAGTGGGAAGTGGTCATTTTCCCAGATGACCGTCTATGACAGGCGGCTGTTAGAACTGGCTTCACTGTATTTGATTAGCACAAATATGTCAACAAGAAAAGCACCCAGCCTTAATTAGACCAAAAAGATACGATAGACTTGTTTGTTTGTTTGTTTGAGTAGAGAGAAATACATCAACAAAACAAAGGTCACTTAGTGCTGGGAAACGGTAAGACAGACAGTTTTTCAGCCGGAATGGGCTGCAGTGAACTAACACCCGACAAAAACTTACATCAAATTCTGACACATCAAACATGTTCTTCAGGATGACAATCCGTTCATTTTTCGAGCGCTCATACGGATTCTTGTCTGGACGCCAGTCAAATAATCTGAAAAAAATAAATCTCAAAGTTACTGCCCTGTAAAAAACCAACTCGAAGTTGCTGCCCTGTAAAAAACCAACTCGAAGTTGCTGCCCTGTAAAAGGAAAAAACAAACCTCCAGCATTGAGCATTAAAATCTTGATTGTTTGAACCAAGAGACACACGTCTGCACAAAAAATGGTCACTCAGTGCAAGGAAAAGGTTAGATAGATGGACAGAAACAGAGAGAAAGAAATGAAGTAGAATCTAGCAGTGGCGCCCTCTAACCACCCGCACATTATTTATGAAGTGTTGAGTGCTCGCTGAATCACTAGCACCCTTTGGCAAGTACTCATCGGTCTACACCCAGGAGAAGTGAGACAAATAGGATACCTTTCCTGAGGGAACGAAACAATGCTCTACCGTGCACAGAGGGGAAACGAACTCACAACTTTTTAAATTGCAAGTCTGACGCTTTACTGCATGTCTACCCCCCCCCGATGAAGGGGAAAGGGCAAAATTGTTCAGATGAGAGGGCCTATTTTCTTTTTTGCGTTATTGTGAGAATAATGTTGGCCATTCAGGGGACACTGCAAGGACAAGAAAACACACGCTTCTTGGGGTTTTTTTTCAAGGTCAATAAGAACTGCAGTTAAAGAAAGAGCAACTTTCCAAACAGAAAAGTACAACACTGTCTAGGTTTGTACACCCCATTCAACACTGTCAGATTAGTTGGAAGAGGCGGGACCTCCAAATTTGACATCAGTTGTCAATGAAACTGAGCCAAATGCAGGAAGAGCATTTTAAAAACCCCTAAAAACAGCCCAAGTTTAGAACAGCCTGTTGGGGATCTGAACCAGGGCCACCAGCTCTGTAATCCAGCATGATACCAACTGAGCTAACAACGTGCCCTTCACAGCGCAACAGCAGTGGAAGTTCAGTCGCAGCGGAGGGTGTCCCCGCCCACCAGCGGAGGGTTTCCCCGCCCACCAGCGGAGGGTGTCCCGTCAGGGTCACTGGGACCAGCTTCCTGTCGCCGCTCTGGCTGGGCTGACTTAAGTTTTGGGTACTTTTCAACTTAAAAGTATTAGTTGTAGTTTGCACCTAAGGTAATTATCATTTAAAGCACCCAACACATTCATTTCTGCTCTTGAGACTAAAAAAAGAACAAACACTGTCACTTGTAAGTTATTTCGTAAGACACGTTGCAGTCGGCAAAGCTGAATTGTGAGGGGTTTGTTTTTGACAAATTAACCCCCATGACCCCGAACCAGGGAGCTCTGGTGGGCTGGCTGCTGAGTCACGCCAACTAAAAGTCATAAAATCTAGCAAAAAATTACGCAGCGCCTTCCAAAACAGGAGAAATGTCCAAAATGCAAAGCTAGAGAAAAGATATAAATGGTATATTCTAGCTACATGTGTTCAAGCAATTGAAACAAAACACTTGTTCCAAGTGGTCCAGTAAATCACAACAACAGCCCGTTCACTTCTAACAACCATCTAAACAAAACACGTGTTCCAAGTGGTCCAGTAAATCACAAGAAACAACAGCCCGTTCACTTCTAACAACCATCTAAACAAAACACGTGTTCCAAGTGGTCCAGTAAATCACAAGAAACAACAGCCCGTTCACTTCTAACAACCATCTAAACAAAACACGTGTTCCAGGTGGTCCAGTAAATCACAAGAAACAACAGCCCGTTCACTTCTAACAACCATCTAAACAAAACACGTGTTCCAGGTGGTCCAGTAAATCACAAGAAACAACAGCCCGTTCACTTCTAACAACCATCTAAACAAGAACAATACCTCTGCTGCTTTTCCTTCAATTTCTGCTTGGCTTTGTTGCTGAGTTTCTTTCTCTTTTTCTTGGGGTCAAAATCTCCCTTCAGCTCAAACTTGGCTCTCTGCACACTTATCCTGTGACCTCTCACTTCAAACTCATCCAGGATGTTCAAAGCCAACTCAACCGACTCAGGCTGAAAAGACAAAATACAAAACAACACTTGTTGACATTTATCAGACAAAATACCAAACAACACTTGCTGACATTTATCAGACAAAATACCAAACAACACTTGCTTGTTGACATATATCAGAATTTATCAGACAAAATACCAAACAACACTTGTTGACATATATCAGAAAAAATACCAAACAACACTTGTTGACATATATCAGACAAAATACCAAACAACACTTGCTGACATATATCAGACAAAATACCAAACAACACTTGCTGACATATATCAGACAAGATACCAAACAACACTTGCTGACATATATCAGACAAGATACCAAACAACACTTGCTGACATATATCAGACAAAATACCAAACAACACTTGTTGACATATATCAGACAAAATACCAAACAACATTTGCTGACATATATCAGACAAAATACCAAACAACACTTGTTGACATATATCAGACAACTGGAACAAAGTAAGTAAAATGGAAAAGAAACAGTTGTTGTTTGTCTAAGTGCATCACTTCCTTGTACTTTGGAAATACAGGCGTCTGTGGGGTGTAACAGTTTGTTAGGCGCTTCACTGTCACATGCAGGAGACCGGAGTTCGATTCTCGAGTGGAGACAAATTTTTATTGAGCACCTCGGTCTTTCTGCTGGGACATTGCATTCCCCTCCACCCAATTAGGCCCTGCACAGGCCAGTTTACCACCTACAGAACAGATCTCAACTGTGTCCAATGGGGGCGTAAAAATACCTGCAGTTTACAAAATCCCCCCAAACTTATAGACTTGTATGAAGTAAGAGAGACTGGTAACTGACAAGACGCCATGCTGGGGTAGCACACCAGAAGTTAAAGTTGGTCCAATTACTGGATCGTAGGATGGTGTTTTCACAGACATGTACAGTCGAACGTCCTTTAACAGCCACCCATCTACGATAATCACCTGTACAGGAACAGTCGAATGGCCACCAAACTAAGATAATCACCTGTACAGGAACAGTCGAATGGCCACCCATCTAAGATATCACCTGTACAGGAACAGTCGAATGGCCACCCATCTAAGATATCACCTGTACAGGAACAGCCGAATGGCCACCCATCTAAGATAATCACCTGTGCAGGAACAGTCGAATGGCCACCCATCTAAGATAATCACCTGTACAGGAACAGTCGAATGGCCACCCATCTAAGATAATCACTTGCACACCTGCTCTGATGGCTTCCCATCCAAGATAATCACCTGTACAAATGACCACTTTCCCTCTTACAATTTTTTGGACATTATTTTGACATTGTCCTAGAATAAAATCTATAAGGCTGTAAATATACATTGACAAGTTCAAAGTATGTAACGGATGTTCACAATCACTGTCATCATTTTTTATAAAAGCCTCCTGGAACTGATTGACAAAGCCCTTTCTGCTACTGATTACACTTGTGTGTGTGTGTGTGTGTGTGTGTGTGTGTGTGTGTGTGTGTGAGAGAGAGAGACAGAGAGAGAGAGAGAGAGAG